TAGTAGTAAGTAGTATGTATNTNTNTNTTTATATATATATATATATATATATATATATATATATATATATATATATATATTTGCATATATATATGTATATATTTTATATAAAATAACATTACAACTAATTATGTAGCTTTCCGGAGTATAGATGTACGTTCCAACAGGCGTGTTACAATGATGGTAAAGCTTTGTTTGATAATGGTGATGTTTTTTACCCATGTACCAACTAAAAGTTGAACACATCTTAGACGATAAGGTTAGTAATCTAGCTCGCAGTACTAATTCTAATGCGGGCTGCGAGCTTATAGCAATCATCTATCGAAGGAATTATTGTGATAACGGATGAATTTATTTTTGGTTACTATGTGCGACGGGACACACATTGGACCACAGAGTGGATCGATCGTGGTATTGTTCTTTGTGTAACAATTACCCGCAATATTAGCTCTCCTCACGCGATGTCTCGATGGAGAGAGGCGGATTTTTTTCTTCACGATATTTTATTATACTACGGAGTCGTTTGTCGTTTCGTATTTTCACTTATGACTTGATGGCCGCTTGCCCACCCACAGCAATGCAACGTGATTTCCAGGACGATAAGCGCAAACTATTAGAAAGAAGCAGGTCCTCGTTAAAGGTGAGTATTTCTTCGATATATAGCATTGTCAGATACTAGTACGCGCAGGAGTGTCACACTGAGTCATCATGGTCTGAATCAATCCATCCTATCCATTGACTGCCAACCCATTGGCAACAGTCAGTGACGTTTCCTCGTCGTCTACGTCGTCCCATAAGCACATCTATGCGTCGCAGGCTGCCGCCCCCAATTATTTTGCACAGCACTAGCTGTTTTTATCTATTCCATATCCACGCAGATACCTTGTCTCAGGCTCTGAGCCAGTGTAACATACCGCTCATACAAACCCCTCACCTGTCTATTCAATTATAAGCACTTAGAAGCGCGGGCCGATGAGCGCACCGCCGCTCTTGGGGCGCAGTTGTCGGAATCCATCGCCAAACGCCAACAGGAGGTGTCCGAACGTGACAGGCGTATCAGTTCGTTGGTGTCAGAGAGAGACATAATGATTGGCCAGTTGTCCTCTCTGAAGGTGAGGTATAGTGCACGTGTCTGTTATAGCTGATTCGGTATGGTTACTGTCTGTAAGTGCAAACTCGTGGTTTCTCGAGTGTAGCAGGGAATTGGCTATTCAAGGACCAAATTTATTTTTGGCTGGATATAGTCTGAGCCTATAAACCCTTCCATGGAGTGACCAGCTTTCATACTTGTATATGGGCGATACACGATCTGCATAGTACATTAAAATCATGTTGTAGCCTTATCCGCTCAGTCTCGCACATGTTTCTCACTGCAGAACAAGGCACAGGAGTCTGAGCAGTTAGGAAAGAACGCCGTTACCCAGTTGACGGATAGGGGTACTAAGTTTTTCGATCAGGTGTGTACGCCCCAAGTATGTGTCCAAGAGGACTTTTTGAGATCGATTATATATGAATTTGAACATCGTCCATGTATAGATCATATGGTTTAAGCTCTCATCCGCCATAGATACACAATTCCGTGTTCTCTTTTCGTAGAGCTGTACGGAGGCATGTGCGCGCCCTTCATTCTGGCGCATGACTTCAGATGTGGTGATGAGTGTGTAGTTATATATTTTGCCCGTCTGAACGGTTGTGAGCACTAGTGTAAGACATGGATAGAACGCTGAGATTCATACATGTGTCTCTTGAATCTCACTTCATATGTACGGACTCATTTGTCTGTAGATCGATTCTAGATGACTATGACAAATTAAAAGTGTGTGGGCATCTGCGTACCTTTTCGAAAAGAGCATACCTTCTCGCAAAGACGCATACGAGTGAAATTCATGTGTAGAGTTTTACTTTAAAAAGTAAATAAACCTATGAGAATATACTAAATGTAGATTCCGTACTTACGTGTGTGAGTATTGGATGCCTCCTTTTCTCATGCAACTTAATCACTGCATATTCAATAAGCGTATATGTTTATTGCTTCAGATCAACCAATTGACGAATGAGTTGTCAGAAACAAGGCAAAAATTAGCGGAGGCTACCCAGCAAAAGGAGGCTTTGCAATTGTCGCTCTTTATGATGCGAAAGACCCACGAGCAGGCGGTATGTGCACCTGTGTTACAGTACACATCTGTGGGTGTTTTTCTGCAGACTGTGTTGTGTGACCATGTACCGCTGCTCCTATGCATTAGTTCTGGGATCTTGAAAATATGGGACTGGTGAATGGCGGGGATCAGTGTTGAACGTTATGTATGCGCACTAAACGATTCAGTGCAGGGCCAAGCAAGGACGATCGCTCGCCCTTTATAGCCGTCTTAAAGGTTTTAAAATCACGGGAAAACCCTGCCTGCCAGATGGAAATCAATCATTAAGTGACAGTATACCATTTGTATTTTAGTGACCCGCGCCATTCACAAAATATCTCGTGCTTGCAGGTGAGGAAGCAATTGGCAGGCAGGGAAGGAGACCTGCAAGCCCTGAAGGCGTCTGCCATCGCTGAACGCGCACGTGCTGAGCAGGCTGCTAGTGAACTAGCCAGAATACAGCAGACCCAGGCAATGCGATTCGAGTCTGTTGAAAGCGAGAAGGCCAGTCTTATAGCTCAGGTACTTTGACAGATTGCTGGACGTATTTTGCTTGTGGTGAAGAGGCTGTCAGTTGTTTGTCAATGAGCAAATTCCGCGACAAAGTTGAAAATGGGCAAAACTCTAGATCATTCGACTCATAGGTGGCGAAACAAATGCCATTCGTCTTTGCAGGTCACAGAGATGTCCGTTCTTTTTGAAGAGTACGACCAACGCCGTCGCTTGGCCGAGGAAGAATCACAGGCACTGCAGATACAGATTAACGAAGCCAACGACCGCATCGATGAGCTGCACACAGTCATAGACGATCTGAGTGCCTCTCCTGCCGACAGTCGGGGTGAGGCCCATGACAGCGGGTTGAACGATGGTGGTGATGGGGGTGTTAGCAAGGCCACCAATGGCTTGCTGCATCATCATATGAACGTGCACGGGACGGATGGAAGTGATAGGACACAGGCAACCGCAGAGGAGGAAGGTGTGTGTTTTTTTGGTATGTGTACAGATTTTCATGGTGTGTATGCCGTATTCGTCTTCTTTTTAAGTTGACTGAATGCCAATGCTGCCGTTTAATTTGTACGCGTTGATGTTTAGTGTTTATGAGTTGTTTTAGGCCAGCCGAGTCATTTGGAAGGCACATGTATCGTCACGTGGTATCTATCTGGTTAGTTAGTTGAATGCACAACATGTTCTGACATGTTTCGCTGACAAGCAAACTCCCCACCAACATGGCTGTTCATCAATCACATTCTCACAAACACCCAACCAAACCACACCCACGCACATGCCCAGACCGCACGAAGGCATCCGCATCTGAAGCATTTGCAGAGGACGTGTCTGCAATCGGCACAACCGATGAGGCAGGTACAGTGGAGAAGCACTCAGCCGGATCACAGGCGCCGCCCACAAATGCACTAAAGCGACTGCACAGCGTACAGGACTTAGCTGATCTGGACCTGACGGAAGCGGAAGTGGAGCGCATCAAGGAGAAGCTTCTCACCACGACCCAGGATGAGGTGTGTGTGTGGCTGAAGGGTTGAAAAGAATCAAGCGTAGTATGTGTTGAGTCAGCGCTTACAGAGTACAGGCGCGTGCCCGCTGGTGCATTTGTTTGCTGAGTGGGTGTATCATAGATATTCACAGATGTGTGAGTGGGTGTATCATCGATATTCTCAGATGTGTGAGAGGGTGTTTCATCGATATTCTCAGATGTGCGAGTGGGTGTATCATAGATATTCACAGATGTGTGAGTGGGTGTGTCATAGATCACAGATGTGTGAGTGGGTGTATCATAGATATTCACAGATGTGTGAGTGGGTGTATCATTGATATTTTCATATGTGTGAGTGGGAGTTCGTATGCAGTAGACGCAACAAGGTCGCTTGAGATAGGCTCGAGTTTACTTCGGCGGGTTTAGTAGACCGAAGCAGCTGGCGATCACACCCTGTTCTTCTCAAACTTTCCGCAATCTCAAATGAATGCCCGCGATCCAACATTCAACTTCTACATATTGATGGGCGATACTCTGTTTTACTGTTAGTCTGTGCCATACTTTTGTCATAGTTTCTTTGGCCGGATGTAAAATGAAGTATGCACATTCACAGTTGCAGTTATCAGGCCAACAGGACAAACTCAAAGTATATGCATTTCTCAACTATTTCATCCACATTAGCAAAATAAAAGAGGACATAACGAGTGCACTGCACACTCCCAGGAAAGCTACAGACATCAAACTCAATCCCCAGCCCTAAACATCCTAAATCGAACTCAAAGCGTCCACGCCATTCCCATCTCCTTACCTCTCTATGGCTTCAGATACACATGTTAGAGCAGGAACTGGCGAGTGCACTGTACACCCAAGCGGAGCTACAGAAACATTGTGAGACACTGCTGGGCGACAAGACCGAGCTAGAACGCATACGTATACGGGACAGGGAGGTGTATAAGCAGCAGATGTTGGATTATCAGCAACGCACACTCTCCATTGTCGAGGAGAAGGAGCGGGAACTGCGCGAAGCGAAGGCGTTGCGACGGAGTGACAGCTGCAACAGGCAAGCCAGCTCAGGTAATAATAGGGGCGCGGTGTATAGGTAAGGGCATGTGCGAATACTTCGGGTCGTGTACACCGTGTCCTGGGTGCCTTGACCAAGCACGTGTATGCAGTATAGGACCAGTACGTGGTTCGATGCTTTAGACCAGCTGTTGCCCATAAGGTGCTTATGTTTAGATGAGACTGCGTTTTAAAAACTGGTCGAGGTCTTTTTGTATGCTGAGCGATGGTGTTGTTCTGTTAGGACCAGTCGAGTTCGTCTATGGCCAATACGATCAATTTTATTATTATTCGCTATGCATGCACATCTATGGAATGAATAGGTTTCAACGACTGATGCACCCCACACACATACAAATCGCGCTCATCATTCACGATACTGTACACTCAGCACCTCGTTTACACTATACGCCAATGCAACTTCCGAGCCTTGTTAGGCCTTCACGTATGCACACGCTGGCAGAAATCAGACCTTTGTTCTCACAAATGCTGATGCACATCTAACACCCAGCTATTCACAACAACCGCTGTTTTCAACCTCAGAGCGGCTATCACGCATCCCCACTCCCGACCAAGTGCGAAGCAACAGCGGCACCGTCTCCGACATGGCGTCAGACGCCGAGGGTGCTCAGGGTGGTGGCGATGGTTCATTGCTAGTGTACCGGCAGTGGGGTATAGCGCGTGATAGGGAGTTGCGCGTCATGCTCAAAGAGAAGTCGAAGCTCAATGAAAAATTGAGGGAAGCGGAGGAGAGTAATTTGAATCTCAAGGAGTTGATTGAGGTGTGTTTGATTGTTTGTTTGTTGGTATGGACTATGTGTAAAATGAGATCTAGAGATGGCGTGTAAAATTCTGTACCTATCCTTGAGGTGTGAGTTGTTCGTAGCAATGGCCACACGATTGTTTCTCGGAGCCTCGCCAGGCACATTGAACCAATAGTCAAATCCCAATGAGTATTTCTACCGCTTTGGAGCGGCAGTAGTATTCGTTGGGGTTTGACCAGTCCAATTCGCTTGGCGAGGCTTCGAGAAACAATTGTAGGGTCGGAAGAGAGTAGTTCAAATCCCAAGGGGGTTATTGAGGTACATTTGTCTTTCTGTTCGTTTACGCGGACTATGTGTAAAATGATATTTCGAGATTGCGTGCAAAATCTGTAGCTATCCTTGAGGTGTGAGTTGTTCGTAGCAATGAACCCAAGGTGGTTTCTCGGAGCCTCGCCAGGCGTATTGAACCAGTCAGGTCCCAATGAATATTTCTGCCGCTTGAAGCGGCAGTAGTATTCGTTGGGGTTTGACCAGTCCAATTCGCTTGGCGAGGCTTCGAGAAACAATTGTGGGGTCGGAGGAGAGTAGTTCAAATCCCAAGGGGGTTATTAAGGTACTTTTGTCTTTCTGTTCGTTTACGCGGACTATGTATAAAATGATATTTCGAGATGGAGTGCAAAATTCTGTAACTATCCTTGAGGTGTGAGTTGTTCGTAGCAATGACCCCACGATTGTTTCTCGGAGCCTTAATACCAATGAGGTATTTCTATTGCTTGAAGCGGCAATAGTACTCGTTGGGGTTTGACCAGACCAATGCGCTTGGCGAGGCTCAGAGAAACAATGTTGGGGTCGGAGAAGACTTTACTTTTGTAACAGATGGTAGATATAAAAACAATCAGCTGTATATTCTAACTTAACCATTCACGGTCTACTATAGAAACGACTTGATGTAAGCTATTTTGCCTCTGTGCTGCGAACGGCCGAACATGTATTACGATTTTCAAGTTGCATGGACGTACACGCTGCTAATGACGATGTTTCCCGATTTCTCGTTGTACCAATTGCAGGGTTTGGAAAGAAAACTCAAGGCCATCGAACGGCAAGACAAACGAGAAAACGTAAATATAGAGTATTTGAAGAACATAGTAGTCAAGTACTTCAGTGCCACGACTGGAAAAGAGGTGTGCGTCATTATCTGCATTTATATATCCTTATTTTCGTCTGTGCCAGAATGTGATTTTTGTGCGTGTCGTGTCACATAATTGAAGCGTAGAGTTGGCAGAACGACTATTCAACTTTGTGATGAGATTCTGTAGTGTTCTCGTTCGCCCTTCTGTATGGAATGGTTCCACGTTGTTACTCAGTCTGGCGGCAGGAAAATGTACAACGCTACAACTATCTGGCAATTTTGTCCCTTTCACAGACTTAATACCCAGGGCGTGAATTGAGCTCTAAATCGCTTATTAATCACTACAAATACACATTTAACCTGCACAATCACACAGCATCTCGCGCAGGCCATCTGCATGGTACTCCAGTGCGACCCAGACGAAACGGCGGCCGTGATGAAATCTGTCAACGAGGGGCTTCGGTTACAACACGGACAGGCCGTTAAGAAGTGGTTTACGTGACATCCATCTCTGTAAAGAATAGGACAATAACCCGTGCTGGTGCTTTTGTGCAGGGTTCTACTGCTTGCACCTGCGCGAGGTGTGGAAACTACGCGTTCTCAAACAACTGAACGCCCCATGATTGGTGAATGTGGTATAGGAGAGAGCTTCTGTGATCGATCGCCAATTGTACACGTGATGTACGCGGGTTATTCTGCACATGTACGGATCGAGTGAAAGATCTCGCAAGTGACAAGAAAGCTCCATTGCCACCAACGGTATACATGCAAAAGTTGTGGCTCGCATAGTCAGCATGTTTGTCACAATGCGCTGGAGTGAGGGCTACCTGAAGTAGCTCGGTTCAGTAGCTCGCCAAAAGTGAGGGCTACCTGAAGTAGCTCGGTTCAGTAGCTCGCCAGAAGTGACAAAAATTAGCAGCTTCACGAGACACGCGGTCTCGTGGATACATATTTCGTAGGTTGCTGATGGCCGTCAGGCTATACATAGCTTCAGCCTCTGGAAGGCGCATTCATTCACGGGCAAATGCGAGATGAAATGATCGTCTTGGTGTCAATATGGGCAACAGGAAAGTATATGCCGCATCGTATATGTATAAGTCAGCCCCAACATGACAAATAGCATCGGATATGAGCACCACTTCGAGTTTCGACGACTCTGGGCCTAATCATACACCACTCAGGGCAAAGCAAAGAATGTGGCGGAGTTTAGAACCTTCGAGCCGTTCTCCTCTTAAATCCGCATTGTCAAGTCCCTTCACCTACTACTACCATATATGTGAAGTAGAAAGGCGACTAAGGTCTGGTGCGAGCTGACCTGCCGACCTCGCGGGACTTGCACACAATCCATAATCACCACACTATAGCGCACTCCCTTGAGCGATGCGCCGAGCGGTGTAGAGGCAGCAGATCCTCGATCAGTTTTTCAGTTAGCCACATCGCTGCTTCAGAAACCATCTATAGGTATAATTATTGCTTATTACTAGCCACTGGTAGGGTTACCGTGGACGATTGCGGCCAGCTCCCACGGGGGCGAAGTTCGGATTCCACTTAGCGCTAGCACTGGTTTGCACGCAATTTAGAATTAGAGATCGTGCGAGTGAGTATGGAAGTGTATGCTAGAACATAACGCGAGCTCGAGTGATCAACAAAAAAAATGGAACGACAATGAATACTTGATTCGAAATTAGCATGGAATTGAGACTCGATGATCTGGGAAAATAGCAGATGGATATGCAAAATGATGAAACCCATAGAATTTGGTTCAATTCCTAGAATTGAATCCAACTGTAAGATCAAGGTCTGAAATTCGATGTCGACATAGGATTTTTTTTGTATGCGTATTGATATCTCACGGAGATCAGCATTACAATCGGAATAAGTGCGCCATAGGTGATTAGATAAGAGCCAATACCGTGTCTACAAACTTCACACGATCATCTGGGATGTTTCCCATTCTGCACTCCCACGAAAAACCACCAATATAGGTGCAACATGTAATACACTCGAACAGTACACGATAGAGCACTTCGGTGGGCCGGCTAGTTATGAGCCAAAGACTGCCATTTGTATGCGCCCATCACTTTTCAGACGACTCCAACCCCCCGCCACACAAAAGTATGCAGGATAGTTCAAAGGTATCATCAGCGAGAAGTACGTCGATTTGTACAAGTATCTGTGATACTTATTCATATACACAGTCCGAGATTCCACGCACATAAATGGTGTATACGTAGAAAACACAACGGGTTATAAGAGGATCAAATATATACCTTTCGCTCTGTTGCGCTGCCCATTGCTCACCCGTCAGTGGCACATCTTCGTCACTGCCTGGAAGTGAGCTTTCTTCCATCTCTACATTTGCAGCAGCCCATTTCCCAAACATCTTACTTACCTAGAAAATTCCAAGCGGACAAATAATGCAAAAGAAGATAGAACAGGGACATTGTGAGGTGTATATAGGTTGGCAGTTTTAGCCCAAAATCACAAAGTAGTCGGGAGACGAATATAAATTTAATTCGTAGCACACATCCGGAAAAGAAATCTGTCTTCGTAGCAGCGCAGCATTCCTGGAACGCGACAACAACGAACAGCATACATACCTTCTTCGTAGGGCCTTTTTTCTTCTTTTTCTTCTGAGGTGATCCAGCAATGGGGCTCCGCTTACCACTCAGCCCGGAATTGGTACCGGAATTGGGATGCGAGGGCACATCTGAGGTACGATCATAAGACTCCAGATCTAAAGCGCTCAGATTTACACCTTCGTACAGGAATCCCACTGTCTGTATGATGGTGAGACATTCATTACCAGTCGTGCTTACAACAATAGTGGCCTAGAATATAACGGATTTATATGTCGTTCGCAGAACATTGGCTGTCGGCATGCAATATCGTAATGATCATCACGTCACGAACTGCAATACACGAGATTTACACAGGCATGGCGAAAGGTCGGAAGAGAAACGTTGTCTGATCTCGGCCAGACTTGCCATTTCGAATAAACCTTTCCGGAAATGTAAACGTGCGTAGACTATGCTGAGCCTCCGTAGCTACAGGATGCGTCTGTGTGTCACAACGCAGCACATGTTCTCCACCCATACAAGTATGACATAAAGCAAGTACCACATTTCATTCAGTAGCAAATTGACATGCCCCAGCACACAACAGTACACGCGGACGTTGCGCCGGTCGATTCTAACTTCATATTAACAGCCACACGTCAATCAACATACGCACCCAGCACACAACAGTACACGCGGACGTTGCGCCGGTCGATTCTAACTTCATATTAACAGCCACACGTCAATCAACATACGCACCCAGCACACAACAGTACACGCGGACGTTGCGCCGGTCGATTCTAACTTCATATTAACAGCCACACGTCAATCAACATACGCACACAATCATGACCAAATTAGTTGCTATAAGAGCCACCCAGATACAGCACAAGCAATTGGTACAATATCACCACATACCGGTACAGGAGGATCAGCATGGGAGTTTGCATCGCTGACATACAATGTAGGTGCATTCACCGTCACTGAATCCGGTGCATACGGTGGCAGTGGTGGTGCGTGTGCGTCATCCGAGGGGGGAGGGGGAGGAGGAGGAGGCGGGGAATGTGAACCTGGTGACGCTGGCTCAGGTGGGGCCCGGACAGGCTCGTTAGGCTCGGGAGGTTGTGTGTGTGTATGTGTATCGCCTGGTAAATGGGTTTCTGCAGGTTTGTAAACTGTTGTGACTTGGTGGTAGGAAGGGTGCATGTCTGACAATTCGCCGATGACCTGTGTGGGAGGAGTGAAGGTCAATCGACTATAAATATGCATTGCCGCTATCAAACGATATTTATATGCAACTGTATGTAAATGACAAGTTATATTGAGCTCGAGTCAGATTTATGCATACTATCTAACGAAGTAATAGTAGATTCGCGATTGCATTTCATACCACAGAGGGCCAAAAAGACACAGGGCACAAGAATAGTTAAAAGTGCGCGTGGGAGCCGCTGGTTTGAAAAGATAAATGCTCACAGACTACTCAGACGTGGATTCAGGAAAAGCTGTACATCACACAAAAAAGGAGACAGCACCAAAGTAGCCGACGTCGAGTACATGATTACACCTACTATATATCCCCCGAAACATATGAGATATTCTTCTCTTCAAATTTGCTATTCAGCCACTTAATGCGCGCATGTGTCCTCGGTCGAAATCAAGAAACACACCTGATTCTCATACTCATATGCATTCCTCTCCTGATTCCACACACATTTCCAAGAGTTGGGGAGGTCGGATTGCTCGTGCACTTTGAGTGTCTGAGCGTGCTCCTTGATCTTTGAGATGAAGTACTCGGTCGAAATTTCTCCTGCGGACCAATCCAGCCACCGCGTGCGTAACTGAGGGAACGAGACATCAAAATAAAATGAATACGCCTTTGACCATTTCTGAAGAAAGAAAATTTAATTACGAGCCATTATACACACACACACATATATATATATATATATGACATATGTGCAAGACGCATAGGATTAAACCGCTGTAGATACGATTCGATAGAAGATCATGCGTGACCTCTAAATAACAGGTGCTTAGTGTGCAACAGCCAGACAAGCAGAAGTATCACAAGCACCTAAAAATTCTGCACTCATGAAGATAAAGTATTCACCTTCGCTGTATTACAGATAGGCAATACAGAGATGCTTCGACTTCAGACAACTCTCGAAACAAGGGGGTTTTGCTCTACCGCACCCTACACACTACTATACGTCTCCTATACTACCAGGTTAGTCATGGAAAATCCACTTGCTCGTCGTGACTCCATAGTATTTGTAGCTGTTTGTCATAGAATTCTCATGCCTGAGAGGGATATATCAAGCGTGTCGGTATATATACCCACGTACATGTGTAGATACTTACCTCGACGGCCATTACAGGTATTGCTGATGGGTCGGCTATACTGTAACCCAGGGCTGAGAACTTGTTAGTCAAAAGAGTGGCCAAGTCTGTGGTGGTAGTGACAGTAGTCCTCTCCTTCTCAAACCTTTCATCAGATCTTTGAGCAATTTCCGTTATATGCGCCAAAAACTGTGCCACTTTATCGGTGACACTCATCGGCTGTGTTCAAAATAAAGAGTGTTAAACTACTATTTCATTCGCAACTCGACATAGGTCTGTATGCGTGCCCGCGATAGCGCATCCGAATAATTTGAAAGCAACGCCGATTTCGTGTGCAGGCTCAGTATATCGATCGGTACCTAAGATCAGAACATTTGCTCGGAAATCTAGCTGAAGTGATTGTGAACGAACCAAGATCACTACAGACGCCGCAGCACAATTGAGCGACCGTCTCCTAATACACAAGACCACACACCTTCACAACATCAGGGACAATAGCAGCTCCCGTGCCATCCTGTTCGGAGGTTGCACTGTTCTGTACATCCTCTTCCACCTCCAGCGGATTCGCTTGGAGATTAATCCTCGCCCGTTTCACCCTAAAACCCGCTTTCACTCCCACACCCGACGGCGCCTTGGCCTCCATAGCCGTACCCGCAACGGAGAGTTCGGTCCATTTGCCGGTCTCACGGGTGTCTCCTCTCAAAATCACGTCATCTTGCTCGACTGTTGAGGCACTTCTTTTACCGCTAACTCGTGCTTCGACGCTCAGAGTTTCGTCATCACGCACACCAATTGTACTATCATCATCCAATACCTGTGTGGTACTACAGACAGTAGACACTACGGCCGACGTAGCTGCATTGGTCATGCCATCGCCATCGACATCTATGCACTCTACTGTCACCGGCTTTATGTTTGTCGCTGTTGCCATGGTCACAGCCTTACAGTGGCCTTCTTCTAAATCTGAATCATCAACCGTATCTATGCCCACCTTCATTTCCCCATCTTTCTCTACATTTGCACTCTCATCATCTCCAGACGGATCTGGGCAAGCCTTCGACACCACAGTCTGTGTAGCATTAGCAGATTCGTCGCCTACTACGACTACCCCATCGCCTTCATCTACACCTACTACCGCACCTCCTGCCTCTTTCTCTTGGTCACCCAAGCCATCTTCCCCCTTATTTTGAGTTTCCTCCAACACAGCACTGCCCATGTGCGCAATGTCCTGTGCAGCTTGCTCGTTTGCCTCAGAGGATGGCATGCCATCACATGACTTCCACTCTGCCATGGACCCTAACCCCACATCTGATGCGTCTACACCAGCCTTCTTATCCGCATCGAAAGGTTCATGCTCGCTCACGTCCTCCCCCTCCTTTTCGGTTGTTGGCTCACTTTCTGGCTGGAAGTCTGAGTTTGTTGGTCCTTCTATTTTCGTGTTTGTATTTGTATTCGTGTCTAAGGTTGTATTTTTATACCATTGGCCCGTGGCCATAGAGTCCATTCTGTCCTTTTCTGTGTCACTGTCCGATTCCGGCTCTGAATCGGACCCATCCGACGACGATGAATAATTCACAGACGCCAACCCTCCTAACAACGATCCGGATTTCGCAACCGCCTTAGACTCATCTGATATACTGGAAGAGGTGCCCTCATTGTTAATTGAGGTGACCGTATCTACTGGCTTAGCTTTACTAACAGCGGCGAGGGTGTCTTTCATATTGTCAGTATCGATTGTGACATGCGGTTTTGGTGTATGTACCGGTTCGGTAGTATCTGCAGATGTATGTTCACCTGCAGGCGTCAACGCGGGTGAAGCGGCCTCCTTTATATCTCTAGTGAGTTGTGCATTCCGAACTAAAACTGGCCAGCTCGACAGGGTGTGCGCAGAACCAGACGCCGTAGAGGTATCTGACGACTGGGTTGATGCTGCCTTTGTGACGCCCACCTTCAACCCAGGGCCCTTCTGTACTGTCTGAGCGACCTTAACATCGTCCTTAGGTGTGCGGTTAGCCGTGTCTACACCACTGGCCTTACCTGGACTAATCACATTAATCAGTCTATTACTTGCAGTCAGTGTAGTATCCGTATCCCCAACAACTTTCAGGTCTCGTTTCAGTATAGGCCCCTTCGACACAGATGCAGCCCCTGTGAAGCTGCTCTGCTCCGTCGTGCCAAGCCCCACCTTCGTACTTTTCGCTATGGCGCCTGTATCTGTTTGTACGCCATCGTTTCTAAGTACTGGTGAACTAAGTGTACTTGTGTGTATACTTGTACTTATACTCTTATTGCCTATCGTAGCTTCTCCTACACCTACCGCATCGACCCCAGGTGGCGAATCATCAGGGGTTATTGATACACTGTCGTGTAAATTAGTGGACCCTTCTGTCTTCAGTGCTATCGAGGCCAGCACCTGAGTCCCATTTTCCTCCTGTACGTATACATTGTAGCCCTTCGCATCGACAGGCAGTTGCCACACAACGCTGCCGTCAAATGTATTCCAGTAGTAATAGTGCCCGGTGTTGCCGTCCACCAGAGCGGTCCATTCGTAGATGGAGGGCTCTTCATCAGATGCCATTATGTTGGAAGGGACACACAATCTCTACGAATGTCACGAAGTAGGCATTATATACTTGACCACCTTAGCTAGCTAGCTATCCACCAAAACGTTCTCGTACTCGAACTTGTCAGTATAGTACAGTATATCATGTATTCAAATACACCCCAGTACACCCCAGTACACGTTTAACAGACTCCAGACGAGAAAATCGGTAACCCGCCAAAATGAATGTTCTTTTTAAAATCTAATAATAGACAACTTTTTTGTCCGATGACTGTCCTAAATCTAATAATCTATGTCCGATACATGCCGAAATCCAATTGTAGAAAGCTTTTGTGTCTGATTATATCCTATGATGTAAAAGTTGACAGCTATATTGTCCGATAAATGTCCCAAATCTAATAATAGAACTGCTTTCTCTTGTCGGGGCCATGGCCTGGGCGGGTGTGGGGGCCATGGCCTGGGCCATCGCCCACTGGCCAACATTTTCGATCAACATAACAAACGTTTGCACGTGAAATGTGGCTGAAGCTAGAAGGCAAAAGCCTCCTTTGTATCCATCGCGAAAAACTATTACCTCAACCTGTCTACTGTATTTGGTAAAACATTTACCCCAGATTACAGATACAATCTAAAATTGGACCACGCTATAAGTTAGTAGGCCTTAGCAAATAGCGCAGCATGTCTGGCGCACGGCAAACCCCACTCACTTGTGGTGGGCACACACGGCCTGTTGTAGACCTCGACTTCTCAGAAGTAACCGAGGATGGGTTCTTCATGATCTCCGCATGCAAAGACGGTCGACCCATGATCCGAAACGGTCAGAAAGGCGACTGGATAGGCACTTTTGAGGGCCACAAGGGAGCGGTATGGTGTGCTAGATTGAATCGCGAGGCTACCAGAGCGATCACTGGCAGTGCGGATTTCACAGCTAGGCTGTGGGATGCGACGACGGGCAAGGAGATGCTGCAGTTTGCACACGACCATATTGTGCGCACGGTAGCGTTTGACAAGTCTGAGAAAAGGGTTATTACCAGCTCCATGGAAAAACTGATTAGGCTTTGGGATGTAAACCATGCAGAGAAGGAGATATTGCGCTTGCCTGGACATACTAAGAAGATCACGTCGGCATGCCTGGCACCAAATGGTATGCGTAGGTATTGTGGCACGGAATTATTTTTTTACCTTGTTGTGTTCATGTATATATATTATTTTAGAACGCATAATAAGCTTCTGAATTA